GTCATTGCGCGTCAGATGTTTGTGAACCACACGCTTCATGACGCCGGGCTTCTTGATTAGATTTCCAATTCAAAAGTTTCAGCCATTGTCTCGAACAAGATCAAAACAGAGGTGGGCTTTCCAATCTTGTAAAGTCCCACGGCGTCACATCGGAATGACATTTTTCAAAAAAAATGTAGCTGCGTGAAGATCGAGTGGACTTACTGACTAATACTGATTCGTGTGACACTTAACTAATGTATCTGATACCTGAAAATCGCCAGATTTTCCCCAATTACAGTTTTCTATAGGGGTATAACCGGTGAATTTTCCTGTTTAAATACGTTTTCGCTGTACTGAGAAAGCCTTCACCGTTTGCATTGCGTCGGATGCCTACACGAGGGTCCTCCAGCTATTCACAGTAACAGACGTACAGAGGACTGAATGAGTTTTATGGCCGTCTCCCTGGGATCATGAGTGACGGTTTACGCTTATCTCCAGAACCGAATCCATTGGTGTATTTTGATCACAATTCAAACAATATGCAGCTATCCATCTGCCACTGCTCAGTGGGCTTGATCCGAAACAGGATCTCAGATTTTACCCCGTTGTTAAAGACATGTCGTTCGATTTTTGTTTGCTCTTGTTCAGGCTTGGACAACCTGACGGTGGCATCGCGCTCGTGCTTCTTTTCGGTTGCAGGACAGGTTTGCACCGAAAGGGTGGCGTGGCTGCATGCTCTCACTCCTACTTTGGAGATGCTGAACATTCAGGTTGTCTTGTTGCCTTAACTCAGTCGCTGCTCCATAAATTCACTTTACTATTTCACTCAGTAGCTTTTTTGAGGACGTCCGTTTTCGCCATCCAAAGAAATTAATGTTTGCAAAGTGTATTTACTCGCCGCCTATGTGTTTCTCTTTGAACTCGTACCGCGTAGGCTGCACTTGGTAGTTCACTAGCCGATCAGCTTGAGCAATTGACGGTCAAACGGAACTTGACTGCCAGACAGGTGAAGAAACTTCTACGAGCCGTACTCACAAACGAAGACGTAGTTTCTGTGTTTCGACGCTACATCAATCTGAATGAACCAGAAACGGGTGAATTGTCGGCACGTACGAAACGTCGCGTCAAGAACCTAGGAATTCTTCGAGGATCGAGCAACTCTCAGTCCAATGCGCTGTTCGCTGACCAACTGCTTGAGCCTAGAGTTGTCACACGGTAAGATTTGGGTGATTTCAGATATTATATACATATATATATATATATATATATATATAAAGTAGGTATTCCCGACGTAATCCCATTTTACAGGGTTGGTGCACTGAGAGTTTGCTGAGGTGAGGTTGAAAGGAACTTTTAATACTACAGTCAACCAGATGGTTCTGAAAGGGAATCGGTTAAATGGAGAGTTGTTGGGATCAATTCTCTGCCATTTTACAGGGTTGGTGCACTGAGAGTTTGCCACTCTGAGGTTGAAAGGAACTTTTAATACTACAGTCAACCAGATGGTTCTGAAAGGGAATCGGTTAAATGGAGAGTTGTTGGGATGGGAACAATTCTCTGCCAGTTTTCTATGAATTAGTGTAGTGGAAAAGCTTGTCGCAAAAGTAGTTGGATCTTGTTTTACCATGTCTGAGCTAATCGGATGGGACTGAAGTCACGTGCACACATGGAGTTATACCGGAATTATGTGCAAAACTGATCGCTCTAAATAGGTTGATCTTTGGAAACAGAGGCTGATGATCCTACTTATATTTGTCTGTTTATAAATACCCAGAGAACAAATAATTCATCCAGGCTATCGCATTGAAGGTTCATCTTAATAAGACAATAGTTGGAAACGTGCTTTAGGAATGCAATAAATCCTGACCAATTCTGGCTATTGTTAGCTCATCCTTATTGCTTGAGACAACTCTATACAATCGACAGTGAAATATTTTCCGAATTTTTTTCGTTCGCCATACCGGCCTCTCTTGGCGCCAACTGATTATAACCACTTCGCGGAACGGTTATCACTAACTGATTCATAAATTTGGCTTTACAATTGCCGCCAGATGGCGGCAGATAGAGACAGAAAGAGGTAGGTAATTTAACCCTGGAGTTGATGTACCGCCCCGTTAACCCCGCGTAGTGAATTAGTGATAGTTTATCGTGTGTGTGTGTGTGTATTGAACGCGGCCTCGGTACCCAAGCTAAACGAGATGTTTTACAGTGCTGAGTTACCCTTTAACGAGAACTGGCGCACATGTTTTTGGTATGTGTTTGCTTTGTTGCTACTCTACCACCCAACTATCCCTATGTGGTGTGGAGTTACACTGTCGTTAGAATAGCTGACACCTGTAACCAACTGCAAACGGCAACTGTGAAATCAAAGGTACAATGGTGGTGGTCGTTGTGGGGGTGACACGCGTTGCTACATTGACTGCCTTTGGAAAGGAGCGGTACTTCTGTTGAAGTTTAAATTTTTGCGCGATTTTGGATCATTCGCAGAGGGGATTGACACATGAACTAATGTTATAACTATATCCCGTCATCCGAGACAGCTGTTTGGTCCTTGACTCCGAATGCTTACTCGAGTATGTACCCATCACCTCGGATCCATCGTGACCGGTGTTTTGTTTTTGAGTCGGTTAGCTGCACACAGTCCGAAAGGTGACCTCGGATGGCCTGCGTCCAAAGGCCATGAGTTGAGTGGGACTTCGGCGTTGCTTTTCATCCTGCTGCTTCACGAAATGCTATTTTACGCATCCTTTAAGGATACGATTGCTGGATGAAGTGAATCCGATGAATCGATCAGATGATGCAGTAAGGACCTTTGTCAGGAATGGCGGGTGGTGAGACGCATTCAAAAGCGTCATTCTAAAGATTAGGGGGTCGCTCTTTCCACTCCACAAACTTTCCATCATGCCTGCCAACTTTCACAGAATGATTTCATTAAGAGGGTAGTCGATATAAGTGAGGAACACTGTGAAACAATCCATTACGAATATAAGGTCGTTCATTTTCAATAAGTACAGGATGCGGTAATCGGTGAAAAATTACGATATAGAACTATATGCGTATGCAGCTTGTAAATAGTTTCGCGGAGTTAACTCTGTTGGCCTACTGTAACTCAGTCGGGCCATCGCATTCATCATCTGGACCACAAGCAACGAAGATATGGTGTTCTCGACAAGAAATCTGCAGATGAGTCGGTTTGTATGACGCCTTGGGTTTCGTGCTACGTATTTGTTCGCTAAGCTTGACAAACGTTTCGGCACCATTTGAGATTTCATTGGTTCTCTATCTCAATGAATGTCTCCCCAACTACCGAAATAACTTGCAAAACCCATCAAGTTACAAATCGATGACGTGCTGCGTGTGAGGCTTGCTCAGAAATATGTAATTTTCGATTTCGAAACGAACCTTACAGATATTTTAGCGCCGGTATTAGATTCAGTCTCGGCCATGTGTTGACACTTTATGAAATATTACTGCCGCCCCTAGAACGATGAAGTTACTGTGGATTCAAGTACACATGTAGCTTTCAAACTCTGTTTTTTTTTCATTAGGTCGTTGGCTCGTACTATACAGCATTCTTTGCGAGAATTTCTCCCGGTGGATCCGTCCACACATTGTAAACAGCCGTCCACCATTCTGGATATGGAGTTTTCCGATGAAGAAGACACTTCCGACGCACGGGGCAATGCAACCGAGAAAACTTGTCATACACGTGATGAGGACTATCAACCCGGTCCTTTTGATCTGTACATCTTGGAGCGTGATAACATGTTGGACCAAATTGTCGGACCAGATAATTCTGTGAAAGCATCGCGCAACCGTCTTGAGGAGTCTACAACCAGTGTGCCTCATGATGAGGACTCAAACGAGTCGAGAGACACAAACAGCGACTCTTCCACTTCGGCACACTCCGCGTCACTGGTGGACATCAATCAATGGTTATCTAACGATAAGCCTACGGCAGAGGAGCTCGACAATTCTACATACACCAATCGGCTACGTTCAAGCCATCTACCCACAACACCGGTTGACAGATCCCCCGCCACATCTACTATCCACAATGTGAGTCTGGGGCTGAACGAAAAACGAAACGGAACGGGTACAGTTACGGATACCCTCGCATCAGATGCCGAACAGGATGATCTAGCTGCTGCATCCAATCCACAGTCAGAAGATGCACAGGGAGACGCAGATGATCGTGAAGATGATGTTTACACCGAGTTCTTGCGATCTTTGTTCGCATCTGATACGAGTGCACAAAATTCACCTCAGAAGAGGGTAAGTTCTGTCGAAATTGAGTTAACTCACTCATGCCTGACCAAGATGTTTTCATACGACCACAGGTTGTTACTCAAATCTGGGTATTTGTATGAGGGACTTCGCGATAGCTGATGGTTAAGTATCGGACTTACTGACCGGAATGTCCAGGTTTGGGTAACCTGGCAGTATATAATCCATCGTCTTTCCTCTGAGTAGTGTGGCAATGGTGCACAGAAAGGGTGTCACAGCTGAACGAGTATGTGATGATTATATTTCAAACCAGTTACTTCATTATTTAGACGGAAGTAAACTAGCCGGTTCAGTCTCATGCCAAGACTAGCTTTTATCCAATTTTACGGTCATTTGCATCACACTCTTCTGTTCTCTGAATGGCGGCCCTTTACGCATGTTTTTTGTCTCATCCTCAACAGTGAATGTCAGTACTTGACGTGGCCCCAACTTTAAGTTTAAGATTTTTGTTCTGTTGGTGAACTGCTAGATTTCGTCAGTTCGCTCTCTCTCTCAAACAAGGAGCGTATTGGTTACTCAGTGGCGTGAAAAGTAAGGTAGTAGCTCCACTTGAGATTTATGCACCAGTTCGGCAAGTGAGACAAGGGTGTTCGGAGTAGCTGAAAATTCTGCTCCAATGTGTGAAACCAATCCTGTCAGACTGATCAGGAGAGAACGTCTGTTTCAATGGCCGTGGTGGTCAGTTAGGAGACCTACACAAATCCTTGTGCACCTGCCCGATATGCCAAAATTAATCACTCACACACAACCTGGTGCTGAACAACTGACCTACTATCATCTGCTAATTGTCTTATTGCTAATCGGATACTTTACTGACTATCAGCTGTGCATCACATTCGCTTCAAGCTTATTATGAACGAAAGATTCACTTGGCAGTTAGTTGAGTTACCACCAAGTTAATTTGCACATGAGTGTAACACTCATGTAGGAAATACGGTTGATGGAAACTTGGGGACTACGCCTACCTGATGAGGCCCAAAAAAGGACGAAACCGGCAATAGATCTGACCTACTAGTTTCAAGGGTGATAATGTGTCGAATTTTGTTTACTTGGGACAGCTTGCGTCAAATCCGATTAGACCAGATATGGTTTTTTGGGATATGTTTTCCAAAGTGTTTCTGTAGGCGAATTTCACCTTTCTAATTTACTTATGTTCACTGCCGCTCACCAAAACGTGGTGAGGAAGTTAGTTGAGGCCCTGACTGGCTCACCAGCTCCTGAGCACTCGGTTCATTCAATCCCGCAGTTGAATTTGCAGCGCTATGCAACCAGCTAGTTGGAGGATAGACCAACTGACGCTGGTTGGATCAAAGATGTCCATCATCATCGGCAGCATAACGTCGGTATACATGGTCTGGGATACTGTCAGTGTGTCCAATCCTAGACGGGGTCCTCAACCAAATCCCTTGGCTAAAAAGTCTGACCGCAAGGCAGCGGTGTTCAGCGGGAAATAAAAGCGGGTTATCATTTTTATAGGACAAGTCGCCACACTTGTTACAACCCGCGACTTGGATGCCCAGGAGACTGTGCTGGTCAGACCGCTAACCATTGACCAATCTAGTATGAGAGGCACACGCCGTCACACAACGGTAATGTCCAATCTCTTCGTGACAGACCAAGGTCGTCCTGTCGGAGCTGTTGGTTGATTCATCGTAATGGACAATGGCACTGCATACGGTTTCTAGGAAGCCAAAGGTATCCATCAGTGGGTTGTATTACTGTTGCCTTCCCGCCAGTCACTTACTGTTATCATTTTTGGTTTAGTACTTTTGAACTTCTTGCCAATACTAACTACCAGTTGGGTTTTGAATACTCAGTAGATTTGCAACCGCGTTTTCTGCTTCGGAAATAAGAATGAACGACAGTTTGTGAAAAACCTTTCTGTATGGTTGTTTGGACATTCGCAAGATATAGACATAACCAAACAAAGTGGAATAACGAGTCGCAAACGGGATGCATCGAAGTTCCAACTTTGACTGAACGGTTTTCAGACAACCAGATGACGATGGGCTGTAAATCGGTTTCACTATCTAACCGCCCGTTTAAAACTGAGTCAAATAGTCGCTTCAAAGTTATCATCGGACACCAATTTTTCACGGAATCTTCTGTAATTTCGGGTGCTGCAACGTTTAGGTGTTTCGAGATGTCTACATCTATTCGTGACATTTCGTTTGGTTGATAAAATCATACAGTAGCCGTTGTCTGTTTGCATTGTCATATCACAACCCTTTTTCCGTGAACCTTTTACAAATAAATGTTGTGCCTTAACCAGTGAGCTGTCTCAACTCAGGCTTCAACCTACAAATCACGATTCAAATATCACAGACCGTCCAGATAGTTAGTCCAACAGGCTTCGAAACACCGGTAGTTTCCAGCTTAGTGGTCATTGATTTGCTTGTCGAGCTTAACAATTGACCTGCGAGGACACCATAATCACGAATGACACATATCAGCATGCCTGCGCTTTCCTTTGTGCTTCGGAAAATTGATAGCACTAACCTCATTCAACATCTCAAAACAGCCAACAGGAAAATACTGAATCGATGAATTTATATTTCATGTAATACTTCTCTCCTTGTTTTGAGGCTCGTATTTCTCCAAACAGTGTGCCTCTCGGGCAGCGTCGAACTGGACACCGAGAGCAGGAGCGAACGGACGGTCTCACGCATTGGCCGACTGTAGCTACACCACATTCTCCGAGTACACTCGATCGGAATCACACGAAAGAAAACGACAATCAGGACGAGGCAGACGATGAGGACGATGACCCAGACGATCCTGAATTCGATGTGATGGCCGAACTGGATCAAGTGAATCGAGAAGACTTCTTTGATGAGCTTCGTGACGATCGGGCTGTCCGCGTATCCAAGCAAGAAGCAAAAGTAAGTTAAAATTTCCACCCACCCACATTGGCTTGGCGCTTCCTTTTTGTGACTTGTTACCTGTCGTTCGTATGGTTATGTTTGACTTTCTAATTGTCTCACTCTCCTACAGACACTTCATCGAGATATGCAGGCTCTGTTCAGTGATGAGGATGACGATGGTCAGGGTGCAGCATCCGGCAAACCACCCGCCTCCGCCGTGTATGCAATTACGTCCCATTGTCATCGCCTGCTCCAAGCAAACCGTGTTGCAAAACGAGAACCTATTGACTCTGAAACAGAAGAACAACAAGGTTGCACCTCAGCTAACGATAATGTTGCCATGCCTAGCATGCAAAGTACAATCAAGGAACAGATGGCTTTGGCATTGGAACAGATACAACCTGTCAGGACGTGAGTTTCTTCTCTCTTCCCGAAGTACCTGTTCGATACGGCCTCCGCCGTGTATGCAATTACGTCCCATTGTCATCGCCTGCTCCAAGCAAACCGTGTTGCAAAACGAGAACCTATTGACTCTGAAACAGAAGAACAACAAGGTTGCACCTCAGCTAACGATAATGTTGCCATGCCTAGCATGCAAAGTACAATCAAGGAACAGATGGCTTTGGCATTGGAACAGATACAACCTGTCAGGACGTGAGTTTCTTCTCTCTTCCCGAAGTACCTGTTCGATACGTCGAAGAAGTCGCTCTTCGTATTTTTTTTAAAAAAAAGATAGCACATCTAACTTTTAGACTATTATTTCACTGATCGATTTCCAATGGCAGTTCTCGTGACGTTTCAGAAATTGATGACCGCTGTAATGGTTGTTCATTAGATCAATTCTGGCTCAGTCGGTCCAATCCCAAAAACCCACACGCATCGTCTTTGTGGCCTTCAGTTTCCTCTGTCTGATAGTCTCGTATCGACTGTGCCTGGCCTGAATATGCCGACTGCCCTTGCCTCTGTATGATCAACCTGACCCTGTTTAGGTAAGAGCGCAGACCCACTGACTTGAAGATCCGTGGTTCGAACCCAACCCCCCTCCACATCTCGAGTACTCCTGTCTAGGCGTGGGCAACCTGGTAATATCCAGTCCTCCTTTCGGGTAGCAATGCAACCAAGCATCGAAAGCGTGTTACAGCTGAACCATTTTTCGGCTTTCTATCTGATAGTAATTATTTTGTTTCAGCCGATGAAAGCTGTGTGAGGTTAAATAATTCACCTAAACGTGAGCCTTTGAATATCACTTTTCTGGCTGTGGTTTTTGTTCAACTAGATTTTTGCCCAACATTAACTGTTACCATGGGGGAGGTTCGCCCCCCGGTTAGATTCCGACGGTAGGCCTTTTTCTACTAGTTCGTTATTAGTAGTTTGAACCTTTTCTCGACGTCATTGATAAATTCCCCAGCTTAATGCATTAAATATTGAATGTGCCGTTTCCTGTCAAGTTAGATTAGTCCTACATGACATTCAATGCGGGGGAGGAATATGGTCATGTATCCTTGTCTGACTATCGATACAGTCTCCAGCTCGAAGTCAGGACCTGCTAATACCTTGTAACTCAGCCTGTTGTTTGGGTAAAACGTGGGTTATTCAACCACATGGTCGCACTGGGCGTGCGAGAAACCTGCCGTAGGCATATACTAAACGGAATTTCCGGGCGTATGATTCACTCGGAGATATTTCATCAATGTGCTTTATAAAATTAATTCAACTTGTGTCGTATACTGTGCAGCGGTTGAAGGAGTCGACATTCAGTCATTTGGTCCGCATAAGAGGTTTATAATCCATCTTTCGAATTCATATCCAGGACATTGTCAACATTTTTTTCATAAGCGTACCCTTTATGGTGTAAAACATATAGCTAATGAACGCACCACCTTTCCGAATCAATGCGAATCCAAAGTTCAGACTACACTGTTGACTACAACACACTTTCATGGGGCTGGTGGAAATTAAAACAAATCTACACTACTCTTAATGGATAAGTAGCCCGAAACAACTGTTTCTACCATATAATATGTGCGTTTTATTACCTCCGTCCGGACGGAAGGCAGCACTTCCTTCGTAGGGACAGCTGCATGCGTTTTCCAAGATTGTAATCCATAACCAGGAAAAAATAGTTTGGTTTCCGTCGCTTTTCGTACAGTTTGTGTGTTCATTCGTTCCCTTTAGCGTAACATATGATGACCGAAATTAATGAACTGTACCGTAGCTTAGTGGTAGGAGGACTACGCACCTATTTACAACGATCCACGGGGAGTAAGAATGACAACTTTACGCCTTTTCCACTCACAGTCTGACCGAGGTTCAAATGCAGCAGCTACAAAGGCAACTGGGTATGCACATCCAACTGCTCACGACCAACTTCTTGTGCACCTACGATTTTGTCCATCTGCACTCGTCGGTCACACGAGTTTGTGCGAGCGCTTTAAAAGAACTGGCCTCCAGGCGCGACGCGTTCGATCTCATGGCACAACAAAGGTCGCAATCAATGGGAAGCAGGCACCAACCGACAAGCTTCTACCGATCCTGTCCGACTTTGGACGAGGCTGTGCAGCTAATCACCGACTACGCTGGTCTGTCTTTTCTCCCACTATTACCTCGCAATCCACATCGACCGGGGAGTGATGTTTCTTCGCCGTCTACAAAGAACTCACGGGTTCCCGTTGCGCCGTCTATACCACTGCCACACTGCTTGCTACGATTGATGGTCAACAACCGCATTTGGTCGTACCCTTATCTAATGCCCAGTTCCCTACCATCTAAACCCGATCCACTAAGCGGACCGCAGTGTCGTCGTCGGATCTTTTTCCACTCGTCGGAAGATGCCCTTATTCTTCTGGGATTAGCCGATTTCTCTGGAACATATATTCCACCGGAACCGGAATCGGATGAGCCACAATTCAATCACAGTCGATACCTTACGTACCGTCTGATTCAGAAACATTTGTTACCTCACCGAAACCTCTTGCAATTGCGCACACGTCGATGGAGCTTGCTATCCAATCACTCGTCCCAGGAAAAGCTGATGTCATTAGCAAACTTGCCTTTGGCTACTAGACACCTTGTTCAGCTGTTTTCTGGTATTTCGTCAACTTCTCCTTTGAATAAACGAACACTGCACAAATTGGCTGATGAAGTGGCTGCTTGTTCTATTCCGCATCGTATCTCACTCAGACTGGGCTGCCTGTCAGAAATGCCGTTTCAGGATTTGTTCCGACGTGATGCCCTACCTCCTCATAGTGGGTATGAGACATTTCTGTTGAATGTCAACACCGAGGGCTCGTGTCGAGGCGAATTCTCGAAAATGGTCCATGACTTGCTCACGGATTTCTCCCAACAAGCACAATGTTTGTGGTGGTCCCATGAACATATCAGCGTTAAACCAGATTGGTCGTCTGTTTCTCCATTACCCATACCTGGCCCGATTGCTATCAAACCAGAGGAGACTGGTGATTCAGTGCCGCGGGATTTGGGTCTACTGGGACCCACATTTTTACCAGCCATACCTGTAGACTTCACACCAGATGGGTAAGTATTTATGTACATGTATTTCATCATAATTCCATGCCTCTAGTATGTTTAATAGGCCCAATTCCCCTTATTACTTGATCGGAGTCTCAGTAAACTATCTTGCGTGTTTTCAACACCATCTGTCGTACACAGTCATCCAACATAAAGCGTCCGCCAAACGGGTCGTGCACATGAAGGCGATTTGTCGTTCTTTTCAAGAGTGTGGTCATTATCGCCTTAAAAATTACCTGCTTTTATTGGTTATCGACAGAATATCCCACAGAACCGACTTAATTCATTCCATCACGCCTTGTATCCTACCACCACCTATTTGAATGCGAATGCGGCTGGGACGCTTTTTTTGCCAGTTTGTTTTCGTTTGGGCAGTGTACTTATTGTTATCAATCCCATCGCTCGATTGTCCATGAAGCTCATAGGCTCAATTTATTGAATAATTTACCAAAACGAATAGATTGCCAACATTTTGCGTTATTTGAGAATGGCAAATCTTGACAGCCCATTCATGATGATGGGTTTCCCCTGAACACAAATCGTTTTTGTCGCGTAGTCTTGAATTTAAGTAGATTATTGCCGTTTGTAATGCGAACGTGATCGGGTTCCGAAAAGCTCACCCATGTGAGGATTTCGTTCATTCTGGGATCCACCAGATGGCATCGGCCACGTCGCCCTTTGCCAGCATTTTGAGCTACAGGATCCAGGACTACCCGTCCGCGGAGCATTTTTGGGCAGCTACTGAACAAAACACATCATTCAAATGGATGGCCGCCCAAGAAACTAAGTGGACACGTTCAACTCCATCCATGGCGAACGGTGTAATGTCCCTGCCTTACTGTCGGATGCCTCCTGTAAGCTGAGTTCCGTTCAGAGTCCCCTGACCATGCTCACCTTGGTTGACCTGATCTGCTGCATTTGATACCACACTATTGGATGTTGAGTCCTGTTGTGCCCCCTTTAGCACCGCCTCACGCACCATTGAAAAAGATAATGAGTTGTACTTCTCTTCTGGCTTGCAGCCCTTGAGAAGTCTGGTAATACCTATGGGTGCTCCAGGCCCGGACACGACAAATCGATAGGCTAGGCCTGAAATTCAATCGTGGACACTCGTAGTTGCGTACAGATGCCCTGAACGACTCTTCGAGCTGTCAATTTGTCGAAATATAGGTAGCTCGGGTGTGTTTACTGGCGAACAGATCAACTGCCATCCGATCAGCCACCAGACCCTTTGAGCTAAATACATGATTGGACAAACCTCCGCGGCTGAACATTTAGCACCAACGCAAGGGGTCGAGCCCGATTCGGGGCCTGTGAGATACACCATGTAGGTGCTCTCTATTGTGGACCGTCTAATGGAATGTAGTGCGTAACAGCTCTAGCTGCCTGCGTATTATATGATGATCCGATGTGATAAGCACTGAGACTATGGTAGCATTTTAGCAACAAATCTCCAGCCTAATCGTGGCTGCTCTGAGGCTTGATCATCAAGTACATTAACAACTGCAAGTCGCCTTTGAATTGCATGTTCACAGGAGATTACTAATTTTTCTGACATCTCCGTGTTTATCCTTATCATTCTGTTTACCTATCTGCTCCATTTGCAGGCAAGTTGTGGTAAATACCGAACTAGAACCCGCTTTGGTTGAGTTCGATGCAACTTCAGATTCAACTAAACTATGTCGTGGGACCAAGTCGACCGCCATTCCTCACCAACCCAGCAATTACAGAGTGATGTCACATGACACACCGAAGCCCAGCATTGTGGATCATATTGAGTCCGTACTTGCTCAATTACGCAAGTGGGCTCTGCAGGAGGATCGGTGTTCAAAACGTCGCAATCCAACCGAGCTGACTGCGGGGACGCTTCGATTCTTAGCTTCTGCATCGCCCGTCGCTGGAAAGCTTCCTCTACCGCGGTTACCTACAAGTTCCGCGGCGCAACGTCGTCCTCTCCTTCCACGTCCTTCTGATGCGAGCAAACGACCTGCTGCAGATGCTGCTTCTCTCGCATCCAGAGATGTACAGCCATCTCCAATGCCTATCGATACACATTCTTTCCGAGAGCCTTCTCTCGATTCTAACTTGAGCCGATGTCAAAAAACAGTGAACTTTTTGGCCGATCAGTTTCATTTTGGTTTGGACAAAGTTGTTCACACATACGGTGATTTGATTTTGGGCTGCAACAAATTTCAGCCCATTTCAAAGGCTCTCCCGTGCGCGAACGATGGCGGGAATTTACAGATGACAGCACCTGATTGTCCCACCAGTCAGCAACCCATTTCGGTTTTCTCAGGATCTTGTTTTCTAACGCCGGCTCGATTTATAAATCGATGTAAAGCCCGTGGTGAGGCTACAACAGCCGATTTGTTCACACTGCCCTCTTCTGTGTTACCCCAACGTCAGTCCACCTTGGATGAGTTTGACGTTCATCGGGCTCGATCACTTTTGGATCGATGTCGTGCTTATTTATCCCCCTCTGAATACGGCAACCTGGTTCTCACACTGAGGGAGTTGAATCGTATTGTTTACGGGCATGATTCTTCTAGCTTTTCAGCTGCTCAACGCCACAAAGCCATTTTGCACACAATTGCTTCTGTTTTGCAACAGTTACGTGAGCATCGTGCGCTATGGGAGGATTTTCTCTCTCTACTGGTCGTGGAACAGGCTAAAGATTTGGGATTACTGACGACATTCAGAAACTTAGCTCGAATAGACCGTGTGCAACGTGTGCTGCACGAGCTGGTACCACGAGGCAAGCGATTTTGGCGTCGTTTGCGCAACTTGGCTGATGGTGTCTGTCATGAAGATGGACAGACTTCGAGTACATCTACTGAAGCTGGTGGCAGCACCAAAGGATCGCAGAAGACTCATCGGTCTATGCGCCCCACAGATAGGTTTCGTTGGGAATCCGCCAAAGCCCGTTTTCGACTTTTACGAGGCAAAGGGGTACGTACAAAGTCGGTTCGTGCACCGCTTTCAAAGACTTGGTCATTCCTGGAGAGTGCTTGGAGAAATCGTCCAGTCCTCATATCGCGGTTGGCTTGTCTACTTAACAATGCCCACAAACCATACTCTGGTTTTGAACAAGTGAGTCGCCTCTTTGTTCACTTTACCTAATCCCGTTTTTCCTTCCGATCTTACGCTGCTGGTCTCGTTGAAATGAAACAACTAATACAGTTATAACAAGTTTTGATATGACAAAAGCGTTCTCTTATTATGGCCCGCGTCAGCTCATCCAGATTGATGAGAAGTCCTGATTTTTTATCAGTACGGACACTCTCCATCTGTTACGCTGCTTAGGCGTGTAGCTGAAATCGTCCCTCGGTGATTTTGGCGAGTGTTCAATAACTGAATACGCTGAAATTGATTGAACCCCCCTCAAGTAAGCGATATTTCTCTTGATCCAAACGGCGAACCGCAAAACATGAACTAACCAACTTAGCAGCTGGAAAACCAACCAACAGCCTTGCCACTATGTGCATTTTTCCCGTGGCACAGCAGCCAGCTACCAGGAAAAGCTTTTGCGTCTCTCCAAATCCATTTCTCCCAGGTACTTTCCACTTTTGAGATGTGGGAGGTTGCTGTATGTGGAGGAAATTGGACGTTTTCAGCCGACCGATGACTTTCACGTTATGGACACCCGCTTTTGGTTCAACACCGGCACGGCTCACATGGTCGCTTATGGGGCTGGGTCGGTACATACCTAGTCCATTCCGAGGTTCGGCCCAGTCAGCAGAAGAAACAGGACCATGTGGGTTGTATGGCTTTTACGGACGGGATCTTAATTCCTGAGGCTTGTTGTCCCCATTGTTCACATCCACTAGAGAACCAGAAATAGGAAACTCCACACATAGTCTCATGTACTTTCTAGACAAATAACTGTGTTTTATGAGGTAAAGTCGATTTACTGAGAGAGGTGTGCGATACGCAACGCATCTTGCGTTCCGTATTCTTGTGAATAAGGTGTATGCTCAGACAGGAGATTCGAGTGTACGAAGTCCGATTTGAGGTTGTCAGCACTCGACAGGCTACAAACGTAATAAGCTCTTGACGATAGCAATAACAGTCTTATTCGTGTACATCCACCCTATCCTCATGTTAATTTATCTTAGAATCTAGTGCCATAGATCCCGCTCACCTCGATTTTCTACTATTTCCACAGGGGTTTGAAGAAATCGATCTCCTATCCAGACATTCATTGGACACGCTTCCTACCAGCGGATACCAAGAATCTGAGCAAGCATCTTTCCCCCCCAAACCGATTCCACGAAACTCCTCGCTAATCGATGGATGGGAAGTTTCGACTGTTCTTTCGGCTGCTGCTGCCAGGCGGCATCGGCTAGGTGGTTCCGGTCCAACTTCAGCCCACCGAACTTGTCCGTGTCCTTGTCACCCCAGTTCTGCAGCAGTTACAGCCACGACAGGAAAGCTGAGTAAACTGGATAGTTTGGGTCGAAGACATTGCATTTCTTGTGGACTCCGCGTAAGTATCCATTACCGGGTGCGTTTTTGCTTATTGTACTCGTATTCAGCTTTCTGACAGCCATTCACCCTATTTTCCAGGTTCAACGCGGCATTGTATACATGGATGAGTACAATCTGCACCTACGCAACGTGGAAATCGTCTGGCCTGCAGACTTCAAACCCAAGGCTCCTTTGATGCCTGCGACGACTAACAAAAACCGGACAACTTCAGAATCGGGCCAGCCGATCCCTGGTCGTTCAGGCGCACAGGCCGGCTACTTACCAACTCGTAGTATCCTGGCGCAGCTTGCTGAGCACCACAATCAGATGCGAACAAAACAAAACGACCTGAATCAGTCATTTACCTTACCTGACATAGCTAAGCGACGTGTATCCATAGAATTTGTTCGCGCATGTAAGACAGAGCTCATGCCTCCGCTTTCTACTGCGTCTTCAGAAGACATAGCAAATCGACCCGTCGTGAACCAAGACGCGGACACACTGTACAACAGGGAAGATGCATCTCCCGAATCCTCTCCGCCAACTACACCTGTTGAATCTCCTGTTGCTCTGGCATCTCCAACTCATTGGTTTCTGCATGATGATGATGCTGCTTGCTTCAATACAGAGGCGTTTACGAACTCATCAGCCACAAGGACATCATCGTCCTATGCCTATAATTCGGAAGTATGGGCCTCCATGCCATCACCGCCAACTCAGCTCAACCAAGATTCCACTCTTTGGCATCCAGAGGAGGATAGACAGTTGCTGGAGTTTAGTAAGGCCCGGGGTCGTTACAGCTCATCAATGTTCACCGATTTAGCCCGTTGTTGGATTCCGAAGCCATATCCGGACTCAGTATCTCGCACGGCCTCCGAACTGGAGATGCGATTCAAAAAACTCATGAGGCTGACTCTTGGGGATGCCTATGACTCAGACTTATTCTTAAGTCCCGAAAGGATTGAATCAGACCAAGATGTGTGATGCGAAGTCCCTTTTTCACAGCCTTATCGCTCTTATTAACTCCTTATGACTTCATTTTCTTGTACAGCCATTTTCTTCTACTTTTCTTATGTGAGGTCTTGTAATTAACTTTCACAGTACTAGGTTTCAGCACAGAGCACGATCGCCCATGTCAATAAATCCGTCCTCTCTAAGTCAATGTCTTTTGAAGTCCAGTTGTTAGGTTCAGTCTGTCGGCAACCTTGTTATGTCAGCTAATTTTGCCACGTTCATAGTTCCCTTCTGATTGCGTATGCTTACCATCCTCACTTTTCGGTTTGAATTTATCCACCAGATTTAATTCCACTTGGCACAGTTAACCTACCAGTTCGGTTTCGGGAACTATTCTTGTTTGCCGTCTATTTGGATATCCTGAGGTACCTTCGATAAACATTATCTCCGATATAACAGCTTGAATGCCGTTAATTGCATCCTCAATCTGCGTCTCTTTCATGCAGCCTCGAAAAATCCAAATCAATTATGTTATATTGGTGAAGTGATTATATTTAGAGGCGCACAAATTGTTTCCTGCAACTGATGTAAACAGCTAGAAGGCCGTATTAGAGAGGGAGTTGTTGCAGGGGGTCGTGGATAGATCATCATCGACAGCATGACATCAGTCTCTAACATATGATTTGTTTGAAAGCCTCATTTTGAAGAAAAATATAAAAGTGGATGGGGAAGGGACTCATAGCTAGCTTACTACGCCTCCGGACACTCATTCAGGCAATCTGGATAGAAACTGACAACGAGAATACCATGGACATCGGTCAGCAGCCATATCTGGCAGTCTCCAACCCAGCGCAGTGGGGATCACGCTGTCCCCATCCCGGAAAGCAAGTAGTACTGAAAGAATCCAAATGTCTGGTAATCTACTTCATACTCCTGTGCCAGGTCAAGGGTTGGCCACCTCTCTGCTTCTGCCACTCTAAATTGAGCACGGAAAACGCCACTCGCTTCAGCAAACAATGATTCGGCATACGCAATAAATGGTCTAACCAACGCAGCTTCCGGTGCTGAACACATCCCTCAATCGATATCTGCTGCACAGCCGAAAACTCACTTTCTGATTGCCTCGTCACGCATTCCCCGACACTTTGGACACGCTTCCTACCAGCGGATACCAAGAATCTGAGCAAGCATCTTTCCCCCCCAAACCGATTCCACGAAACTCCTCGCTAATCGATGGATGGGAAGTTTCGACTGTTCTTTCGGCTGCTGCTGCCAGGCGGCATCGGCTAGGTGGTTCCGGTCCAACTTCAGCCCACCGAACTTGTCCGTGTCCTTGTCACCCCAGTTCTGCAGCAGTTACAGCCACGACAGGAAAGCTGAGTAAACTGGATAGTTTGGGTCGAAGACATTGCATTTCTTGTGGACTCCGCGTAAGTATCCATTACCGGGTGCGTTTTTGCTTATTGTACTCGTATTCAGCTTTCTGACAGCCATTCACCCTATTTTCCAGGTTCAACGCGGCATTGTATACATGGATGAGTACAATCTGCACCTACGCAACGTGGAAATCGTCTGGCCTGCAGACTTCAAACCCAAGGCTCCTTTGATGCCTGCGACGACTAACAAAAACCGGACAACTTCAGAATCGGGCCAGCCGATCCCTGGTCGTTCAGGCGCACAGGCCGGCTACTTACCAACTCGTAGTATCCTGGCGCAGCTTGCTGAGCACCACAATCAGATGCGAACAAAACAAAACGACCTGAATCAGTCATTTACCTTACCTGACATAGCTAAGCGACGTGTATCCATAGAATTTGTTCGCGCATGTAAGACAGAGCTCATGCCTCTGCTTTCTACTGCGTCTTCAGAAGACATAGCAAATCGACCCGTCGTGAACCAAGACGCGGACACACTGTACAACAGGGAAGATGCATCTCCCGAATCCTCTCCGCCAACTACACCTGTTGAATCTCCTGTTGCTCTGGCATCTCCAACTCATTGGTTTCTGCATGATGATGATGCTGCTTGCTTCAATACAGAGGCGTTTACGAACTCATCAGCCACAAGGACATCATCGTCCTATGCCTATAATTCGGAAGTATGGGCCTCCATGCCATCACCGCCAACTCAGCTCAACCAAGATTCCACTCTTTGGCATCCAGAGGAGGATAGACAGTTGCTGGAGTTTAGTAAGGCCCGGGGTCGTTACAGCTCATCAATGTTCACCGATTTAGCCCGTTGTTGGATTCCGAAGCCATATCCGGACTCAGTATCTCGCACGGCCTCCGAACTGGAGATGCGATTCAAAAAACTCATGAGGCTGACTCTTGGGGATGCCTATGACTCAGACTTATTCTTAAGTCCCGAAAGGATTGAATCAGACCAAGATGTGTGATGCGAAGTCCCTTTTTCACAGCCTTATCGCTCTTATTAACTCCTTATGACTTCATTTTCTTGTACAGCCATTTTCTTCTACTTTTCTTATGTGAGGTCTTGTAATTAACTTTCACAGTACTAGGTTTCAGCACAGAGCACGATCGCCCATGTCAATAAATCCGTCCTCTCTAAGTCAATGTCTTTTGAAGTCCAGTTGTTAGGTTCAGTCTGTCGGCAACCTTGTTATGTCAGCTAATTTTGCCACGTTCATAGTTCCCTTCTGATTGCGTATGCTTACCATCCTCACTTTTCGGTTTGAATTTATCCACCAGATTTAATTCCACTTGGCACAGTTAACCTACCAGTTCGGTTTCGGGAACTATTCTTGTTTGCCGTCTATTTGGATATCCTGAGGTACCTTCGATAAACATTATCTCCGATATAACAGCTTGAATGCCGTTAATTGCATCCTCAATCTGCGTCTCTTTCATGCAGCCTCGAAAAATCCAAATCAATTATGTTATATTGGTGAAGTGATTATATTTAGAGGCGCACAAATTGTTTCCTGCAACTGATGTAAACAGCTAGAAGGCCGTATTAGAGAGGGAGTTGTTGCAGGGGGTCGTGGATAGATCATCATCGACAGCATGACATCAGTCTCTAACATATGATTTGTTTGAAAGCCTCATTTTGAAGAAAAATATAAAAGTGGATGGGGAAGGGACTCATAGCTAGCTTACTACGCCTCCGGACACTCATTCAGGCAATCTGGATAGAAACTGACAACGAGAATACCATGGACATCGGTCAGCAGCCATATCTGGCAGTCTCCAACCCAGCGCAGTGGGGATCACGCTGTCCCCATCCCGGAAAGCAAGTAGTACTGAAAGAATCCAAATGTCTGGTAATCTACTTCATACTCCTGTGCCAGGTCAAGGGTTGGCCACCTCTCTGCTTCTGCCACTCTAAATTGAGCACGGAAAACGCCACTCGCTTCAGCAAACAATGATTCGGCATACGCAATAAATGGTCTAACCAACGCAGCTTCCGGTGCTGAACACATCCCTCAATCGATATCTGCTGCACAGCCGAAAACTCACTTTCTGATTGCCTCGTCACGCATTCCCCGACACTGAACCACACGAGCTATGGTTCTGAGACAACGATTGTCGAACAATTGAAGATGCCTCATTTCCGTTGTTCCACCGGACCAAGTCTCACGGCCATACAGTAAAACGACCCGCACTGTAGCCTGATACATACGACCCTTGAGATTCAGGGATATACCGTTTTGGCGCCACAGTGTCTCAAATTAGTAAAGGCGACCCGAGCCTTGCAAATTCGTGCATTGATCACATCTATCAAACTTCAGTCAGAACTAATACAACTTCCGAGATACCTAAAACGCTCTACAACTTCGAGTGTCTTTCTCTGGTTTCTAAGTGGCATGTCCAGGAGCATAATCTTACACTTTTTGGGTGCTAAGTGCATACCAAAGGACGGGATGACTGGTCAGTTCTCCCGTTCGAAGATGAGAACGATGTCGTCCGCATTTTCCAGATCGACAAGGCTTTCGTCAGAGTATTCGAACGCCGGAGAATGCTTACGACTATGAGACGATTCCGTTAGAATAAAGTCGTTACAATTCGCAATCGATTTTCTGTTTCGAGTTAACTAGTGCCCTAGTGTGATGCGGAACGCAGTATAGGACTCGTGAGCTTGCTTCTTCAGTTGACTGACAGTCAGTGGCAGAATGAAGCCCGCGGCCGAATGTTTGGATTTGGCTCTTTCGTAAGTCCTCATACGAGAGTCCTATTTTGTGTTGGATTACTGTAGTTGCCGTACGGCTACGATCGCATGCGATGGTGTATTAGAGTTGACCGTGTTCTACTGAAGTGGTCGTGGAGTTTCATTCCCATGCAAACTGTCTTCCTGGAGACTTATGACATAGTTTGCAGCAGTTAAGCGACAAATTGAAAATTTTCATTTCTATGGAATGCAAGTTGAAGAGCGAACGTTTTGTTCTCAGGGCATTTACAAAATACTAGGACATCCTTAAGATTGACTGCCTTCTAGGTAGACAAATAACGTCTGAATTGATTAAGTGACTAGACTCATGACTGGTCAAGGTGACCGATGCTAAGTTCTAATTTGTATTTCCTCACCGGTCGACCGGTGGTCAGTCCAGGTGAACAGCATGGGGACAACTTCGTAAGTGTCCATTACTGTTGCTGCCGCTCACTGATGGACAAAGGCTAGACCCACAACGACCAAGACTCATTTCCGGGTAGAGTAACGTTCAGACCGAACCTCTCAGATTTGATGATGTTGATCTGTCTTTGAATACCTCGTTAAATTGCAGCACCATCTAGAGCATCACAACAATTACAAGTTTGCAGAACTTCTTCCGGTTTTCATGTATGCCACAGAACTGCGGGACGCGCTGTTATCGGACCAGATTCACGATGTGTCTTACGCCTAAGCCACTTTCTGTGACTACTGAATTGGCTGTTTTGTCGAAATCGATCTAGCGAGGTTGGAAGCGACTAGGCTCAGCATCTACTCGAATGCCTGTCACCTGGACACATGCGCTTCAGTTTGCGGTTCTAATCCATAACTTGGTTAGATCATGCGAATTATCGGTCAACCTCCACTGAGTGAGTGAATGATTTGCTCGTCAATTAGACTATCTTTCCGGGAGTAACTTAACTTCACAGTCTAGGTTGGGCACTTGAGTGTAGGTTCCGTTGGATGATTATCAGACGAAAAGCAGCTCCGTGAACTATTCTAGTAACCTTGCGTGATACATTTCAGATATCGGATTCTTCTTACTCATTTTACCGACGGATTTGAGCTTTACCTTATTAGCCATGATATTGAGGCTAATTAACGGTCAAATTTGAAAATAATCGAACTGAACCTGTTTGCAATTGATCGGATTTAATTCGACTCTGCTGCATGTATCGGCGTACGGTAGTGACCGATCTCGTGTCATCGAAACGGATTTCCTAATAATAAACTCGTTTTATAGGGAGAATGTACACGTATTTTGTAACGAGTAACTCCTGTTTTCAGTGTAATCCGACACTACACAAGCTTTGTGGCGATGTACATTCCAAGAACCAGCAGGCTGTAGCAACTGGGGCTGAAGTAACGCCATCTATGAGCTTCAGGAGAATCAGTGTTCGGGAATGGCGGATTTCATAACTGCTCCTATCCCTAATGTAAAGTTGGGCTCCTGGATGGGACCATAGTTCACGAGCATGCATGTAATGATGCTACGCTTCATCTTACGTCACATTATTCTTCCGAAAATAGCGGGAAATTCCAATCACCGAAGCGAAGCTATAGGTCCGTTGTCCAGTCAACCTTGATTCGGGAGCTTGATTGCTCAGTGGTTAGTACGCGAATTTACTAACCGGAAGGTCGTGGTTCCAACCCGACCTGTACCTTTCGACTTCCCCTGTCTAGGCTTGGGAAACCTGGCAGTATCTCAACCCTTTTGCTTCCTTCGGGTGGCAGTTAGGGAATGAAGGGGCGCTACAGCTGAACGATTATTATTTATTATGATCAACCTTGATTCCAGATGTACAGGTGAACTTTCTGTACTGGTTAGATGGCATTGGCAGCTACGCACCCAAAGGGCATTACAGCTGAAAGATCGTTGCTCTTGCTGTTACAACCTATCGCACACAAATCCTGAGCTCCATAAGTCCTTTTCGTACAGGTATATTACCAGCAATCGGTTGGTTTCATTGAACTAAATTCCGTTTTACTCAGATCATTCCTGACGATGTCCCGTTCGCATAGTGTTGCAAGATGTCATTTTGATTGGGAGTGATTCGATAATGCAGAGAGTTTTAACATTTTCATGTGTCTTTTAGCCACCTTCGTCTTGTTATTGTCTATTATCAAAGTGATTGTACTGGTTTGACCAAAATGATAGGTACCAACATCGGTAATAAGATATCGGAAGGCACACTACTAACTAGTATAACGGTAGATGTGTCCGCACTGGTTGTTCCCTTCATAACCTCTCGAAGTAAGGTTTTCAGAATATACGACATAGCTCCGAAAGACATGGAACACTAGTTCCTGTAAGCTCTTCCAAGGATCGTGAACACAATATTCGTGTCACATTCCTTCAGTTTTGGGTCTGCTGTCTTCTCTTGGAATTCGCGCACTTTCTTCAAAACGACTCCCAATCACGGGAAGGAATTACTTGGCCAAATTGATTCACAGCGAACCTATTGCATCGAAATTGCAATTTGCATCAGTTCTCGAAATCTGTCAAAATGCGCTTCCGAAAGAAAAATGTCGCCACGCAAGTGCATTGCCGTTTAATTTTCACGAACTAGCAAGGCGTTTCATAGAGCAAGTCACACATCATTCCCATGAGTGAATTCGATACCCATGGAGCCACCTAACCAGTTACGTAATCAAAGAGTGCCGTCAACAAGTTGTTTGACAAGATAGATGCACATTCGACGGATATTCTCCGTTTATGCTTAAAAAAATATGACGTCGGCAGCTGTTTAGGATTAACTTCAAAGGTATAATTTGATAATGTTTGCACTGTCAGTTAATTTCCAATGTCAGCAAAGATATACTGGCGTAAACAACTTTGTGCACGGAAAATTCCCTGGTGACATACTCAGCTAATCTGTCTAAGCTGTTGGTTTTTAATCATCTGGAAGATGTTCGGGACCGATTGAGTAGTCATCGTTTGAGAGGGGTTTGTTAAACCACCGACTGTTTACCTAACCTTCCTGAAATAGATTGCTGGTTATTTATTGTTGGTGCATACAAATCAGTATACAGTGGAACAGCCTTGTTCGGCGAGTGCTTTATTTGGCCTTCCATTGAAGTTGTGATTTCCCAAGTCTCAAAGGAGTTCTCATGTAGCTGATTGTGCTTTCCTTCAAGAATTGGTGGACACAAAACACAGTACTGTCCCTTAGACGACGAGTAACGCTTCACTAGAGTAGTGTTCGCATTCTTTGGCAAGAGGGTGCTTTTTTAAATAAGCATACGCCCCGTGTGTTTTCATGAGCATGGTATCCAAGCTATTTTCGATAGCGTTATGTGTACACTTTTATCTTCCCCTGGTTTGTTCTGTTTTTTGTTCGGTTGGTCCTGTTTCTGGCCAATGTAATAACCTCCAAGTGATACCATCACCAATAAAAGTG